CCCTCTTGGGGTTCCCAAGTGGATTGGAAATGGGCTTTGCATCTTCCTGTGGTATCATGGCCATCTGTTAGCTTCCACTGGGCCCTACCTGACTGACTGTTGGAAAAATGAATGTGTTACTCTAGGAAACATCTTAGAAGGAACAAAAACTAGAAGATACGCTGATCCTCCTCATACTTCTTAAAACACAAGCGTATCATAGAATCACAGAACGGCCTGGGTTGAAAAGGAGCACAATGCTCATCCAGTTTCAACCCCCTGCTATGTGCAGGGTCACCAACCACCAGACCAGGCTGCCCAGAGCCACATCCAGCCTGACCTTGAATGCTGCACTTCCATTTTGTTTGTTTAATCTGCACAACAGAGAAATAAGCATGAAGATCCACTGCAGATGTATTTAAAAGAACAAAACAGAACAAAACACCACCTTAAAATCTCTAAGTATGGCCTATTTTATTACTCTGCTCTGATAATGCCCTTTGGGTTTTGAGTGTTTCAAATGGGTCTTTTCTACCAAAGCAACCTGGTTGCCTTGTGTTCTTTCTGCTTTGTTGCATAAAAAATTGCTCCCTTTTGTGGCAAAATCACACGTGTATTCAAGCAGATGTAGGACAACAAATTATGGCAAGCCATTAGGAAGCACCTCTCGAGAAAGGGAAAAGAAGCAGTGGAGAGCTTGGGCTGCAAGGGGCAATGCTTTGTCACCATGGCCACCACCATCCTGCTGTCCCTGTAATCCAGGGACACAGGTGTGGAAAGTGAACTGGCTGTTCTGTTTCCTGTGGCAAACTGGTTTGTTTTGTGGGTTTTTGTCATGTGCTGAGATGAAGCGTAATGGAGCTCGTGTCTGCACCTTAACTATTTGTGTGCTGATCACCCTTTGTGATCTGTATTTCTGTTTGTTTAATCCTACCTCATGGAGCCAGGTGGGAACTTATGTGAATCCAAAGGAGAAGAGAGGGTGAGATGGAGATGTACTGCGAGCAATCAAGCTGCTTTCAATGTTTGTGCAGGAAGATGCATTTCTTGCCCCCTGATCACATCCATCGCTGTGCCCTGTTCCTCAGCCTTTCAGACAGCTCTGCAGGATTCACTGTGATCAGCACAGCTCCTGGAGGAAATCTTCCAGCTTTCCAGAACTGACTGCTGGAAAACATCACTCCTATCAGCTGGGTGAAGAGACTGGAACAGACTCCCATAGGAATCATAGCTTCTCCTGAACCTCGCTGCCTTTTTAAACATGGAGCAGAGAGGCCAGGTTGGATGTGGTGCTGGGCAAGCTGCTCTAGTGAAAGGTGTGCCTGCCCATGGCAGGGCTTTGGAACTGGGTGTATTTTAAGATCCCTTCCAATCCGGCCCAAAGGCAGCTGCAGAGCTGAAAGGAATGGGTTTGGTCTCTATTTCTACTAGGAACAGTGTCAGCAAGGGAATCTACGTGGGATGTAAGAACATCTCCCATGGGTAGGAGGAGACACACCAGAGAAATACAGAGATTTCAATTTCCGTGCTGGCTAAGGACAAGGTCATGAAGTCTGCTGGCTGCACCGGGTGGAGCTTCCATCAGATCTGTGCACATCCCTGCCTTCTTGGCATCTCCCATTGCTCAATGGGTACCAGAGACTGCATTTTCCTGGGGTGATGAGAGATGCAACCAGTGTCAGCTGCTGCAGGAGCATCCCTCCCTTCTGCCTGCAGTTGGGTCCAGCAGCCACAGCACCCACATTGCCCACCTGCTTCCGTTGTCATCCTTTAATCCCTCCACACGCATTCCTGCAGTGTGAAAACCTCAGCATCTTCCAAGATTTTGTTTTTGCTTTTTTGCTGCCATGTGGATTGCTTGCCTTGCCAGCTCCTGGGCACCTGCTCTGGGTGTCCCAGCTGGAGCAGAGGGCTCTACCAGCCTCGGCCTCAGCAGGCAGCTCCTGGAGAGCAGTGACTGCTGTGGTACGTCAGCAAAGCTGGTCCTGGTCTGCTCTGGGATGGTGTCTGTCTTCCTGAGGAGATCTCCAGCTCAGTCCTTCCAAAGACTGGTTCCTCTGTTGCTAAATCTGGCCTGGGGCTGCATAGGTTTGTCCTCTCACTGGAGAAGCCGATGGCTTTGTGACCCCATCACGATGATGGCTTGGTTACAAAAAGTGAATTTAAGAATAATTCATCAACTCTGTGAACTTCGGGTCTTGTAATGCTTTGCAGACAAGAAGTTGATTGTGATTTAAATGCCATAATCAAGTGTCAGAAAGGTGAGGAAAGCCAATTAATTTAACCCTTGTAAATGCCAAGGTGTATTTAATTGTAATTTATCATTTGTTGTGGCCTTAATTGCACGGCTGGTGTTTAATACCATGTGGCAATGGTGTTTTAAGCAGTGGTGGCAGATGAAGTTTAGCTCCTGTTTCTGTGAGCTACATGCAGTGAAGCTTTATAGGTGGTATTATTTAGGAGGAGGAAATGATTGTACACCTTTTAGGTGTATTAAAGTCATAATGATGACATTTCTCTGCATTTTCTAACAGTTCTTTTGCAAACTCCTATGACGTAAAGCCTAGATGGAGCTCTGAGCACCTGATGGAAATATCGGTGTCCCTGTTCATTGCAGGGAAGTTGGACCAGATGGTCTTCAAAGATTCCTTCCAGCTCAAACGATTCTGTGATTCTGTAATGTTGAGAAAAAAAAATAAGTTATTCTTAGCATTTCTCATTCTCGTTGGCCTTTCTGCCCCAAGGTGTTCCTGTGTCTCTGCCTTACAGCTCCTCTTTGAACCGTCCCTGGGCAGTGGTTCCAGCGTTCCCCTTGACCCCACAAAGGCCCCCTGGTCCTACTTGATCTTGGGATGCTCACCAAAGCCAAGGGGACGCAGGGCTGGGACCCATCAGAGTAGGCCCTGCCTCTTACTAGTTGTTGTCAGCCCTATGAAAAGGTTCCTGGGTCATCAGCTGTATCCTTTCCAACACTGTACATCCTCCTGTATGCATACAGAGATTCTTCTTTTTGGTATCCCCAAAAGAGGTGGCCGTCCTTGGACGTACTTAGAATGGCTGCACAGTGCCTTCAGCAACCTGCTGTAACCTCAGAGCTGGCCCTGCCTTAAGCTGTGCTTTGAAAGATGTCCTCCCAAACTCAGCTGAACCGTGACTTGGCTTCTTCTGCACATAGCTATAACCTATGGCCTGCAGATTCAAGTCAGAGAAAAGCAGATCATATTACCAGCTGAACACTGATGATAAGGCCAGGGAAACAGGGCTGATACAGCTGTGAGGAGCTGCTGGGGTGGCAGCTGTAGGAAGTCAGCATCCAGGAAAGCTGTTGGGAAAGGTTCCCCCGCAGAATCTCCACAGTAAAGAAGCGACGGCCCCGATGGCTTCCTCCAACCCTCCACACTGCTCTCTTTGCACCAGTGAGTTTTGACATGCAGTATTTAAGTGCTGTTGTGCAAGGATTTTATTAGGACAGAGGAGGCTGGATAGATTTACCTGTTCTAACGCGCTCTGCAGCACAGGAGGAATGAACAAAGAAGAGAACCCTGTGGTGTTGTTTCAAATGTTACGAGCCAGCATCGTTCTGGCAGTCTCTGTCTCTACACACCAGGAGCCAGCTGTAAAAGCAGCAGCAGCACAGCGTTTCAATCTGCACTGAGTTTAATACTCTGCTGATCCCACAGAGTCCAATGCCCTATCTTGTACCATGAGAAATGTGAGGCCGCAGCATCAGCAAACTGGGTACGGAATATTTTGGGGCACAGCAGTGTAACAGAGTGATTTGCACTGCACCCATGGGTCTGCTGCTCGAGGACACGATGTGTCCTTTCCACGTGCTGCACAGACAGCCTAAGTTTGCTCATCTTGTGTGAGTGCAGGTGCTTGAGCACTGTTTTATCAGATACAAATAATTCTTCTGTCATGGTGCAGCTAAAAATTATGACATTTTTCACTTGGATTTTTTTATGGAGAACTTCTTATATGTGGTCTTGTCAGATTCTGTTTGTTTGTGACCATTTGAACTCTGCATTCCAGCTGCTGCCTCCTATGAAATGAGACCAACGGCTGGGTTGTTAATTCTTAGCACCATAAAATGCACCGTTAGAAACAGAATAAGACTTCTTTATACATTTTTCTTTGGTGATTGTTCTAGGTTGAAGTTCTTCTGTGAAAGCACTTGATTTCTGCTAGCAAAAACGTTCTACCTTCTCTCTCTCCTTCCCCCCCAACACTTCCATTCATTTTGTAATAGAATTATAGAATCATAGAATCACAGAACATTCCCAAGGATCACGGAGTCCAACACTGGCTCCACAAAGCACCACCCAAAATTCAAACCCTACATCTGAGAGTGTTGTCCAGATGAACTCCTTGAACTCCAGCACTGCCCTGGGCAGACTGTTCCATGCCCACCGCTCTCTGGTGCAGATCCTGTCTCTAGCCCCCAGTTGCCCCTCTCCACCATCTCTGTAGCCCTCCTTCAGATGCTTTCTAATAGTTTTATGTCCTTTTTGTACAGTGGTGCCCAAAACTGCATCCAGTGCTCGAGGTGAGGCTGCTTCACTGCAGTGTAGGGCAGACAATCCCTTCCCTCAGCCATCTGGCAATGCTGTGTTTGATGCACCCCAGGATACGGTTGGCCATTCTGTCTGCCTGGGCACACGACTGACTCAACCCTGACTAAGAGAATTTTGGGTGCAGGGAGCCCTCAGGCATAAATCTTATGGCTCCTTGCCCCCGTGGCCTCAGTGAGAGCAGATGGAGCCCTCACTGCAGCAAGGGCTCCTTGCCCCAACCTGAGCTGCACATGATGAGCATTTTGGGTGCCCAGGACGTGGTGAGCATGGGGAGCCCTTTGGCTCTCAGTCTGCCCACACAATGGTTTCACCTGATTTTAAGATATCCCAGAGATGGGGCTTCACCTTGACCCCCAGTGTCTTGCCATGCAGGCATTTCCAAACACTCAGAAGTCCAAATTTAATTTCTTTATATTTAAATATAATCCAAGGGAAAACAGGTGCCATTTTCCTGAAAACAGCATTCACTAAAAATAACAGAAGGAAAGAATGAACCAAGACAAGAATCACAGAATGTCTTTGGTTGGAAAGGTCCTTTAAGTCCTCTAGTTCCAACCCCCAGCAAACAAGGAATTAATACACACGCATTGTCCATCAGCACTAATCCTGATTGACTTCCATGGCTTGAAGATCATACCCACAGGTGACATCTTACAGCCGAACAGCTGCTGCAAGTCCTGCTCCACCAGGGTAGTAGTGTGAGCTGGGAGGAAAACAAAACCCTTCTGTCCCTTGTAGACACATCTGGCAGAGCAGAATCCTGTTCTGAATCCGGTTCAGCTGAGGGGCTGCTCTAGGGCCAGGGATCCCTGCCTCACGCCCCGGAGCAACTCCCCCAGCACCCCCAGGATGTCTTGCAAGCCCTGCCCAGTGTGGGCACTGCATCCCCGCAGCAACCATGGGTGCCCTGCCAGCCGTCCCCTGCACAGTTGCTGTCCCAGCTCAGCGGGAGCCATGGCCCCTGGCAGCTCCTGCTTGTTGGCCAGGAGGAGGACAGGGACCTCAGCAAGACCAGGGTGGCCCAGGGTCTCCTCCAGCACCGCCAACGCTTCAGGCAGCCGAGCCGTGTCTGCGCTGTCTAGCACAAAGACCAGGATGTTGGTGTCCTCCAGGTAGTGGTGCCAGCTGGCCCGGAGGTTGGGCTGTCCCCCAACGTCCCAGAGGTTGAAGGACATGCCGCAGGGCGTCCGCATGGCCTCCACGTTGAAGCCCACGGTTGGGCACGTCTCCATGGCCTGGCCGCCCTTCAGCTGGTACAGGATGGTGGATTTCCCAGCGAGGTCGAGGCCCAGCATGACCACACGCGCGTCTCTTTTGCGCCAGCCTTTGGAGAACAGCTTCCCCATCGAGACACTGTTGCAGCCAGTCAAAAAATATAGCTAAAATAAAACGTATTTCTTGGATAATATCAGTGAATAGCAGAGCACTCCGTCCTACCTCCCTTAGGATTGCTGAAGGAGGAAACAGGCAGCCGGCCCTGGCTTCTCCGCGCAGCTAGACCAAGGCAGAGCTGTTATTTCACAGGCATGGAGCGGAGCCAAGGAGCACAGCCCAGAATTACGGCTTCTGCACTCCCGCCCCGCCGCCTCCTGCCTCCATCCCGCCCACAGCCCTCTGAGAGCTCCGCCAGCATCCCGCAGGAAGAGCCGGGCACAGCACGCTTCCTCCCAGCGGGGCAGGAATACACCAGCTTTTGTTCATTGGCTTCTCGAGGGGAAATCCACCCCCAGCCGGACAGGAGGAAACCCGGGCTGCTCTGGGAATGTGCTGAATCACAGCTCAGGGGTGTGGATTTCAACACGAGCCACAAGACAACCGACAGTTTGCAGTCTTACGATCGCACAACACAAATCTCAGTTCGGCGTTGGTTTTCACGACCTGCTGCACGGTGCTGATGGATTTAAAGAGATGCATGCAGACAGAAATTTTAGTGTTTGGCAGAAATACGACCAGCACGAAAATCCATAAAACTTATTGCATCAAGATGCTCACTGCATTTTGACTTCCGTAAGGCAGTCAGTCCTCTGACACTGGGGGTGGGGAAAGAAATCTCTGTTCAAAAAGTTTACCAAGATGGCACCACTCCAACTTACACACCAGAGGCAGAAACGGGCTGCTGAAACAGCAGAGCTTCTTGTGCAAGAGCAGCAGGTGGCAGCCAGCAGAGCCTGGCAAAGTGGATGGTACCCCCATCCGGTGGGTTTCTTGCCCTACAGCTGCTTGAAGGCACGCTGTGCTGAAGCAGCCATAGATCTGCAGAGCAGAGCAGCGCTCTCCAGGTTTCCCAGAAGGAAATGTGATTTATGTGTTTCTCCCCATGCATCAGCAGGAGATGTAATTTCCTGCGTGCTGCTGTGCCTGACAGCTCCATGTCACATGGCACCACTGCTGGGACAAGCCCAGCACTGCAGCATAGGGAGGTGGCCGTCTGGACCTACAGACAACTTTGGCAGGTGTTCCTATGAGAAAAGGCTGAAGCACACCCCATACAGCTGGGGCTGGGAGGTACTGGGACCACCAGAATACAGAAACAGGAAAAGAGAACTACGATAAGGAGCGCAGTGATCCTAACCCTGCAGCCCAAGGGCTGCCCAGTGGCCCGAGTCCTTTTCCTTAAAGGAGTTAAATCGGTGCCTGGCTCCTTAACCTATTTCTCCTCCAATCTGAGGAAACCTTCCTCCCATGTTGCCTTGGGCTGTGAGATCAGCACAGTGGGTATTTTGTGATGTGCCAATGCGTGCCACGAATTGCCCCTTGAATCTGTGTTTCTCTGCCTTTGCTGCTGCTCTGCTCTGAGGCTGGACGAGTGGTACGGATGATCTGTTTCATTCTCATATCCCTGGCAATGAACACAAGTCTACTCATTTTCTTTCTCCCTGCCACTTGTTCTAATCGTGGAGGTGCAGTAGATGCCTGCAGAGTCTGATCCACCCACAGCTGTGCTATAAAGGCATCATATTCCAATAAATAATACATGGGTGCAATTGCAATTCTGTGTAAGAGAGAAAAGAAAGTAAAAGCAGATGAGACAAGCTCTGAGTGAATCTATTGCTGGAGCAGGAAGGCTGTACACTAAATAATTCAGAAACTGTGTTCAGAGGTGAGGGCAACCCTTACTCCAGCTATATCTTTTGTGGGCAGAACAAATGCTCTCACCTTGTTTTTCATGTCTCTGAAGCGAGGATGGCGGTAGTTAATTCTGCTTATAATTAATAGATTCATAGAATAATTAAGGTTGGAAAAGACACTGCGATCATCTGGTCCAACTGTCAGCCCATCCCCACCATGCCCACCATCCATGTCCCTAAGTGCCACATCCACACAGTTCTTGAACACCTTCAGGGATTGTGACTCCACAAATTAAAATATAGCTCTGACTGTCTTGAAAAGCCTGAATCTCGATTCTTCAATTATTTCTAGTGTGTCTAGGTGAAAAGGGAGGAAAAAAATGAGCAAAAAATGTTATCTGAGCCAAAAAAAGGCTTTTGCTCAATCCTTTCTTGTACCTTTTACTATTTGCTCCTCCATCTGTTGAGCATCAAAGTTTTGAAGCTAAGATAGCTTTTTTTATACACTGTTCCTTCAGTTTCTGTTAAAAGGAAGCCCTACAGAGGGAATCCACACTGCCAACCTATTTGTTCTACGTATAGGTAGCTTCTTATCTGAAACTGTTTATACTATGGGAAGTAAAAATCACAGCTTGCAGGTAACTTGGTGAGGCTCTTCTCTGTAGATCTATCAGGATGAAACTCTGCTTTGAAATACCCAAATCCGGGTTTCTTTTGTACCTTTCTTTATGATACGATGGATGAAAGCGAAGAAAACCCGTGACAATTGATTTTAACTGCATTTTCTCGTGCTCACCACACAGTGTCACTGTTGCCACACTTTTCTCAGAGAAGATGCTGTCTCCAGAGGCATCAAACAGCTGCGGCCAAACCACTGGTGCTGGAGCTCCCTGCTTTGGTGAGGGGAGGGCTTCCTTTGGCATCCTTCTGTGACCGGATCTTTGAAACAGGTTTTCCTGAACAGCTCTCTCTCTATTTTGTGAACCTATTTATAGAACGATTTGGGTTCAAAGAGACCTCAAAGAACATCTAGTTCCAACCCCACTTCACATTTGCAGGAAGCTGACGGCGAGGACTGCAGAGCAACACGAAATCAGGTGGCAGTCATAGGTGATATTTAGCTTCAGATCATTTCATCTGGCATCACATGCTAGGACTCTGCAGCTAACTAACTGATGGAAAAGGTTATGCTGAACAAAGAGGAGATAAACACAGAAGAATTTTCGTATCCTTTAACATTGAGATTTGCCATCACGACTCTGTGCTGTAGTTGCTTACAGTGCTGCAGATACAGACAGATCTTTTTTATCCAAAGCAGACAAAAGGCAGTGCATTCTATCTATTCTTTTAACGTGCTCCTAGGAATGAATCTGATGATTCAGGTTACAGTAGGGCTCGTGGAGCAACTCAATGCTGTGCTATTGTTCCTTTTGAACTTCAGATGCTCTGAGTTTAATCACTGGAGAAAAGCATTTCATCTGCTCTGGTTATCAGAAGAGATGCAAGTCGAGACGATCAGTGCGAGAGAGATAGCAGCATCTCAGCTAACTCACCCTGAGCTAACTCATCCAAGTCAGCAATGAGTTACAGACATTGGCAGCACGCCGTGTTATGCAATAATTGTTTCTATTCTTAAAGCAAACAAAAAAGCCTCTAAATATCATTATTTGGCCCGGTTGATCTGTTTAGCACCTTTCTAAAGTTTCCAGTCTGTCATAACTTTTCCAAGACGGATATAAGGCTTCATATCCCCTTTCCTTCTGGAAAAAAACACAATGAGAGAAGAGTGGTTTTGTTATTGTTTGCTTTTATGAGAAGGAAAACAAGGGAACAGAAAAAGAACAGAAGTAAGCAGCATCCGCTGGATTATTAAGTGAATTCCGCTTCTTATAAAGCACTTGTATCTGTTTCAGCCCATTGTAAAGCTCAGGCACCAGTATGAAGTAACTGCAATTACCCTGAGGTGTTTAAGGACTTGCTGCACGTTACTAACTAGCAATAACACCAAGAAACCTGAACCCACGTGAATAAAAAAACTCCACTGGATGCTGTGTACCAGTACTTGCTTCAAAAAAATGGGTTTCTCTATATGATCAGGGAGGTTGTGGATGCCCCGTCCTTGGACGTGTTCAAGGCCAGGTTGGACGGGGTCCTGGGCAACCTGATCTAAATGTTTGTGTTTGGTGGCCCTGCTAGGCAGGGGGGTTGGAACTACATGATCCTTGAGGTCCCTTCCAACCCAGGTGATTCTGTGATTCTGTGATTCTGTGATTCTGTGATCAGCAGATCTTTTCCACAGTTCTAAATAGGATCAAAGTTCTGTTTATGTAGCCTCACCTTCTCACCATCTCCTAGCAGTGTCAGAAAGGCAGCTATCCTCAACAGATTATTTGTTTGTGGGGACAAAAAGATGAGCAGAAAACAGACACGTGTAGGCACTGCTATTTCTGCAGCAAAAAGAAAATCATCAGTGTGTTTGGGTATACTGTAGCAATCCCCTTTCTGGCTCTTTTAGAGCTTCCCACTGAGGCTCTGACTACACTTTTCCACATATCTTATTTATGCTTTGACTTTGCAGCTCGATGCTGCACAAGCTACCCAGCAGTGTCTTCCCAAGGCCACAGCAGCACAGCATGCAGGAACTTGGCAGGGAACATCTTTCTACCCCTGGCCTCCTGCTGTGCCTTCTCTGCCTCGTACTCCAGGGCAGAATTTCTTCAGCATCGCTGATTCCCTCTCACAGCAACCCTTCTGGATTTGACTCCTTCGGTGCTGAAATTATGATTACTCTTTAATGTACTCTTTCTTGTAAGCTGGCCATACCCAAACACAGGCTGATGCCTCTTGCAGGCCCTGCCATGCTGCTCCACAGCTCCCATCAGTCAGCTCCATCTGAGGGTGGTGATGCACTGGAACAGGTTGCCCAAGGAGGCTGTGGATGCCCCATCCCTGCAGGCATTCAAGGCCAGGCTGGATGTGGCTCTGGGCAGCCTGGTCTGCTGGCTGGCGACCCTGCACATAGCAGGGGGTTGAAACTGGATGAGCATTGTGGTCCTTTTCAACCCAGGCCATTCTGTGATTCTATGATTCTCTCTGCTGTCGCAAGCCCCCGCTGCCCCGTGACCCTGAGCACGGCCAGGAAAATAAGGAAACTTGAAGCAGCAGCAACCATTTCCTGGTAAGAGCCTCGTCAAACAACAGCAGGCTCTCTTGGGACAGCAGCTCTGCACTCTTCCCTTTCCTGGATCCTCCCCCACAGCTGTGTCCTGTCCTTGAGCTGCAGCTATAAACACGCAGCTGTAAAGACAGAAAACGTCAGTACTGAGTGAAAGCGGAGCGTGAACGCTGAACTAAACGCCTCTAAAACCCCCAACCCCGCCCCGCCCGCTCGCTCGCTGTCCCTCACTGCGCCGGGAAGGAAAAACAGACGGCGGTGACGTGCTCCACCCCTTGGAAGCAAAACACCAATAGGCGACGAGGAAGATGGTCACGTGAC